AGAGCTTCCCTTACATGCAATTAAACATTATTGACAAATACCTAAACTAAATAAATGGAAGTTATTACATTTTGACAATCATTTTGATTAATCAGTGGGACTAGGATTTGATTTTTAGGACACGAGAACAGTCTGTAAACTGTTGCATCTTGATATAGGCACAAATGTGCCCATGAAGATACTCCTCTGAGAAAGTTAGAAGAAGCACATAATGCTTATTTGTGTTAAATGTTTTTTTTTTTTTTTTTTTTTTTTTTTTTTTTTCTTTTTTAAACAAACCTGGGAAAAGTATTTTCCACACCATCTGGTGCTGATGATTCCCACTTAGATGGTGGAAATACCCTGTCATACTGACTGCAGAGAAGGCCTTCAGTACGCTTGCACAAAATGTGGCTGTTGAGCTACTATTTGAAGAGCTTCCCTTACATGCAATTAAACATTATTGACAAATACCTAAACTAAATAAATGGAAGTTATTACATTTTGACAATCATTTTGATTAATCAGTGGGACTAGGATTTGATTTTTAGGACACGAGAACAGTCTGTAAACTGTTGCATCTTGATATAGGCACAAATGTGCCCATGAAGATACTCCTCTGAGAAAGTTAGAAGAAGCACATAATGCTTATTTGTGTTAAAGTGCATTTTGGCTTTTTCCATGATTCAAAATTAAACCATTAAAACTGGCAAATAAGAATATTAAGATTGTGATGAGCCTTTCAGAAACCATGGAGAAGGGAGCAGTCTTAAATAAATAAAAACCTGCATAGCATTTAGGCTGTGGTAAGAAAAAAACATGCAGACATTTTTTTTTACCAGGATGAACTGATTTACAGAAAGCATTAGGCATCTCAGTTAAACTGACAAATTTTATCACTTACCTGTGCAGCTGCTGAAGTGATTTTCTGGATTGACATTTGCTTGTTAGTATTATAACTTAACCAATATAATCTGTTATCATCATCTTCAGCTGCATCATATTAAAGGTTGATTATTTAGTACTTATGTTTTGTTAATGGGCTTTTCGTGAGGAGGTGATATTACCTGATTGTAAGTTGGACATTTTTAATAAGATGCAGTATTGGATTGAGCACAGTAAAAGAGACTGATAAAGCTACCAGCATCTCCATACAATTTGGGAGTCCCTTAAATAGGTTTCTATTAATTTTATCTCAGAAAATTCTTGTTGCACTGTTACTCATTGAAGAACTTCTAGTATACATTTTTCAGATACTGCACAGACAAATTAGACATACAGTAACAGACATTCTCAATAGTGTGAATGTTTCTCTGCTAAATCCCTCAAGCACAAAAGCCTGAGCATTTACAGTAGAATGTCTGACAACAGGGAATTCATTGCCTAGTTTCTGTACATTGATGAAACAGGGGGACTTATGTTCTTACTGGTTGCTTTCCAGGGAATAAATACAAAATATAAGGGGAACTTCAACATGTATCTGTACAGTTACTATCTTTCTCAGTTCTTCTCCTCTAAAATGACACATTTATTTAATATGAAATATTTCAAAATAATTCTGCTGGATCTTATCATGCCTTCTCTGGAAAATTATGGCCATGACAACTGCAGGAACTTGCACAGTGTACAGCTTGTTTCAGCAGGCATTTCTCAGGTCAGTGTTACAATTTCCAGGAATAAGGTGGTAAAGTCCTGGAAAGAAGTGCAGAAGCTCATAAGTTTGAAGACCTTTAAAAGCTTTCATAGGCTGTCACCGTGGGTAATATCTTGCAAGGACATACCGAAAGCAGTGGAGTTCAGATGAGGTGTATTTTATGTGATGGTAGTAGGATGGAGTTTTTGTAGTGGGGAGTATGAAGGCACAGTCATCTGTTTTAGGGAGTGAATGTAGTGGTATATATGTCTACTAGCAACATGGGAGAGGAGATTTCTGAGTTTTGCTGTAGCCAGAGTGATGCTGGTACCCACATCAGCACACAGGACTTCCTTCACCCACTATGTCTTTTGCATCCTGCGGGACTTTCTGCAGACCCTCATTCCTGACTTACCGGGCTTGCACCCACTGTGGCATTGTCTCTAATGAATAAAGCTAAAGGAAGGCTCCCAAACCAAGAGGGGTGCAAGAGGTGGTGGCTGCTCTCTTCTAGGATTTGCTGTGCTTGAAGGGGTGGGAGTGGACCCTGGTAATAGATGGTGAGATATGATTTTTGCAGGCACTGCAAAGTTCCCACTTGCTGAAGCAGCTCTTTAGGAACCACAGACAGCCTGCACCCATTTTGTGGTGTAGCGAAATCTGTTGCCAAAATGCCAGCTTTGCCACGGGATCATGTAGGAAGCCCAGCCCAAGTTAGAGGCTTGTGTTGGGGAGTAGGTATATGCTTCACCCCACACGTATCCATGACCTACAACCTGCCAATCCGCTCTTTTTCTCCAGCTGGATAAACCCGGTGAAGTCCTACGGAGGCACCACTTGCCTGTACCTTATGGCTAATGCTTCTTTGCCTTTTTGTGCCCTTGTCCTTTTCAGTATTCTGGAGGAGCACTCACTGCAGTAACACGGGCCAGTGTCACTCTTATTACTTTACCTGTTTTATCTTTTGTGAAATTGAGCCTTTAGCCAGAATTGCCTGAGCTGCTGCTCCAGCAGTCGGTTAACTGTGAGGCTCCTTGAGCTCATTTCTCTCAAGTAATTTGATTCCCACGTGCTCACTGAGATTGCTTTTTTTGCTGAAAGGAAAGTGGGGAAGGGGGATGGGTGTGTGTATGAGAGCAGACCAGAAATGTTATGGCAGACAAATGTAGCTTAGAGATAAAAACAACGCAAAAACATGTTTAAAAAGATCCCATCTCACTTTATCTCCCTGTAACCCAGTCCTATAAAACAAGATGTTTTTCTCTTTGAGAATCAGAGACAGAGTCTTTTGTGCTGGTGCAGGGTATGGAACAGGAGGCTAATTCCATCCTGCTTCTGCATAAAGCCAATAAGGTAATCCTTTCATTAAAATTGCTAGAAATGTGTGTAAAATACTAATTAGAGGGTTTTTTTTTTTTTGGTAAGTGGTCATAAGGCTTCTATGGATTCCAGGATACTTTCTGAAATCACACACAGAATTCAAGGCGTTTTATTTTGGTTGCTGAACTATTTCTTTTACATTGTGGTTACTTAGGAGTAATTGAACACCAGTTTTCTAGATAAGGTTCTATTTAAGATTGGTTAGTATGGCAGCAGTTTTCTAAATAATGTACAATTTATGGACAGATTTATGATTCTTTAAAATTGCCAGTGCTTTATCACAGTTTTGGGCAAATACTCTGCTGCAAGGGAGTAAAAAACAAGCCTGAAATGTGAATCTTGCTGGAGAGAGAATTGTTCTGAAAATAAACCATTCAGTGCATAAACAATGGTATACCAGTCATCTGAAATACGCATTTCTCCCTCTGCATGGTGTTCATTGTATTTCCAGGCAGATACACCACACTCAGGGTACAGAATTTCTATGTTACAAAGTCCTGGTTTGTTGGAGAGGATATTGCTAATTTGAGCAGACGGTCTGCTTAGAGGTCTGTTCTTTTCTGTGATCAAAATGAGGCTGTTGGAAGTCCCTGCTTTGGGTTCTGTTCGTGTTCATTAGTTTGTGTCATAAGACATATGCCTTGATGATATCAGCAGCATTATTAAATGTCATAAGAATATATTTTCCCAGCAGCAGCGGAAGTATCCACAGTAACACTTGCAGAATCTCAGATAATTTTCAATCTTGGACCTGGAAAAAAAAGAATTCAAAAGAATTCCAAAGCACGCTTTCCTGAGAAACGTCTGCAAAGGAAGCACGTGCTAAATGTCAGTATTACCCAAACATTGACTGTTTTACTTCCTACGCTTGCTGGATGGCTGATATCTATCACTTCAAAACATCCAGCAGCATGCGTAGTTGTGAAAAAAGGTTAAAGAAGATAGGATTTTGGAGGATAATGTGCTAGGTCAAAAAGCTGGACATACCTACTAATTTTTGCAGTGTCTGCATTTCAGTTTACGGTGCGAGGGTGATGTATGATATAAAAAAAAGCTATATGCACACAGCTGTATGCCAAATTTCATGACTGTTTCTATCAAGCCCTGTTGCTTGCTTGTACACTGTGCCTGCAGCTCCACCTCTTCAAAGACTTCTATTAATCTAACCTACTGAGAGCTATTCATACAGCTTATGGGGTTTTATTTTTAAATCCTCACAAAAATGATTTGCTGCCCTCAAGTTAGGAATTTAAAGGAAAATTAAATTAAGGCTGCCTAAGTAATGAAAGCATCTTTAGACTTGATAGATAGAGACCATCAAAGCAAAAAGTCTGTATCCCTGGAAAGATTTCTGATATTGTTTAGTGCTGGGGGAGTTACTATCGCTAGTATATCATGCAGCATCAGGCCTTAAATTCATATGCTTATGCTTCATGAATTCTCTAATTTCCAAAGTTGTTCTTTATGTTTTAGGTCATAAATTAAGATATTTCTAACTAAAATATTTCTATCCTTAAAAGCCTTATGGCATCGGGGTCATAGTGTTGTATAGGTTTGCTGACATATTGAACAAAGAAAGCCTTAAGAAAGCCCTAATGCCTTAAGAAACATCTGAATTTTTCTTGCATGCCATGAAATGTAAGCCTAGTATTTGTTACTGTGATGTGTGTGTTATATTGTTACCTGCCTAGTATGATGCACGTACATCTCTCTATTGTTTCTACTTCTCTTGAGCTGTGGAATATTCCTAAATAGAGTTTAAAACAAAAATAAAATCCCATAAAGCATCACTGGACCTATTTTCAATTTGTTTAGCCGGGAACAAAAGTAATTGATGTTACCTAAAACCTTTATACAAATCTGTGAAGAATGGAGTTTACCAGTTGTAATCCCAGAATAGTCCAAAAAATGGAAGGGGTGGAGATAGGGAAATACACAGATTTTTGTTTTCTTATATGTGTAGAAAAATATGTGCCTTTAATTTATCTCTTGTTTCTTTTGTTTTTAGGTTTTCCAAATGAGCCTGCTGCTGTCATTGCCCTTAACACTATTAAGGAATGGTTGAGCAAGAATCATAATGAGGTATGGAATAAAATATAAATTTTCCAATTTTCTCTTCAAGATTATGGTCTTTGAGTCCAAAACTGTGAAAAGAGTAAACATAGAATTGAGCCTTGAAGACTTTTATTATTTAGTCTAAAACCAATGAAATCAGGTCAGGACAATATAGCCGGGGGAAGATTGTTATATTTAAAAGCTACACTGGAGTTGAAGGGAAATACCTTTGTTTGAAACCATACTGTGCATTTCCTGTGCATTTAATCTTTCCTGGCAAAGTAAAAGACTATTCTCTTCTTAAGCTGTTTCTGAGCGTCAGAGTTTTTGTGTAATAATAAAGAGATTCTTGGAAAGGAAATGTATGTAACAGTTGTCAGTGGAAACAGCCACCAAAGGTCAGTGGTGTTCCAGGGATCACTTTACAGTAAAGGGCTGTATGACACGATTTTCTATTTTCATTAATTTTTGGTTTGCTTACAGTTAAGTGTTCGTTTTCCCTGGAACACTCACTAGATATGTGATACAACTGTGAATTTTTGACAGGACTGGTCGTCTTCCAGTGGCAACACGATGGTGATTATTTTTACAAGACAAAAAAACCACTTTCATCAGAACTATCTCCGTAACTCCCCTTTCTATTTTTTGTCTTTCTCTGGTTTGACTTTTTAGCAGGCTGATAGTTCCTAGTGTTGAATTGGAGAAGTGCAACATAGAAGTGACAGAACAAATAAAATAATCATGATGTCTTAAACTGAAGCTATGCCTGTTTCCTCACAACGACAGCCAGCAGATTTCAGACAGCTAGAGTTGTTCAGTATTTTTGTCTGAAAATATTTAACAAAGCATCCAGTGCAGATGCATTGAATACGGGGACATAATTAGTAGTATTTTTCCTCTAGCAATATATTCAGGGGGGGCTTTTTGTCAAGAGAACCTATTACGTGAGCGTCTGAATTTAGCAGTTTTATGAAGTTTGTTTGGTTTTTTACCAGCTTGGAATTTAAAAAAAATACTATGTTGAGATTTGAATGGTAAATTGAAGTTTTCAAACTTGATTTCAGAAAGGTACACTAAGGAGTGCATCTCTGTTTGGACACTGGTTCTTTGTAGCACTGAGCTGTGTGACTTAAGAAATCTGAGCAGTGGAGCAGGAGTTTTGGATGGTATGCCTGGGTGTCATCAGCCTAGCTCTGGACTTGTATTTTTGGGAGTCTGGTCTGTTACTATGTAATTTTAACCCTTAAGTGTAAGGCTAGAACTTCTATGTTTACACTGCTTTGCCATTTTATAATTTCTCTTAATTGTATTTTTTTACCACATAATTTAAAAAAAAAAAAAGGCTAAAAATCTTTTTTGGCTCCAGAAGTAAGCTTTTGTTCCTCAAAAGCTGGGTATGTGCTGTATATACACTCCTTAATTACTTTTAGTGATATTACAAGAAACCTGACTTCATTTGTTAGACTGCCTATCAAAAGGGTAGAAGTTTTCTCAATGAAAACTATTTTCTGAAGTATTTTTCTCTATGGTTCAGCCATTGCTTCTCAGCTATAAGACAACTTTCACTTTGAGTCTTCCCTTTTTTTTTTTTTCCTTTTTCTGCTTCTGTCCTGGAAACTCCTACATGTCCTGCGTGTCACCTTTCCATCTTTCTTTTAGTTAGCGTATTGCTTCTACGTTTTTCTCGTTCCTTCCGTAGACTTCAAGTGAGTTCCTCCCCTTGTCATCGGAAAGCCCCAGGTCTGTTTTGGAAGAGGACTTGAGGTTCCTAGCAGATAGTGATTGAAGTGACAGTGTTTGTCATATATGTTCATGACTCTTGAGTTATAATTTTTCATGTATTTTGACCTGTATTTGCAAAATGCCACTGTATTTATGGTCCAAACAGATTAGTGTAAACTATGAACACTGAATATGCATGATTCCTCCTTTCTCACTCTCTGTAACATGTTCCTTTCTAATTCTTGGCCTTCTTGGCTGCCTAGCTGTAAACATCCTATCTTGCTCCTCACAAACTCCAATTTAATCTGAATTCTTAGAAATAGAATCAGCTATAGTTTAGAATGTTCAGACGGTGAAAGGAGCTCAGGCTGTCCTGACTACAAAATGATTTTTAAAAATTATCCTACTGAGCTTACATCACGGCTATTTTCTGAGTTTGGGTGGGTATCGCTATTTGGTTTTATACTAAGTGTTTCCTAACACCCTGAATCCCAAACTCACCAAGTTGAGATCTCATGCTGTTCGATGCCCTTGAAGACATGCTTGGGATGCATTTGATGCAATTATTACATATCCATGAACATGACAATTCAGAGCTAATCCTCCAGAGTTTTTGTTAATTTTTGAAGGAAGCGGAACACTAGATTTCACTCAAGATACGTTTTGAGGGTCCAGCTATCCATAGCATTGTACTTTCTTGTACAAAGCTTTGCCTCTTTTTAAGGTTTTTCTGCAATCTACTGACTTGGATTTTAGCCTATGGCATACTAGCGTACTTAACGTGTCATAAATAGGTCAGCAGCAAAATAAAAATACTTTACAATTCTTTGGGAGGTAGCAGTAGCTTACGCTGCGAGAGAGGGGTCTTTGAGAAGCGTACAGTTGTTGGGTTGCTGTTGTTTAATGCCTGTAGCAAGGTGAGTGTAGTTCATCTGGTTCAAATGAACCGATGTAGCTCTGTGGTAGATGACAGTCTGATCCATTTTATATTGTGTACACTTACTCCCTTGGATTAGATTTTGGGCTTTGAGTAGTAATGTTATACATCACTCAAACTTTTCCTAAAAGTGGCTCATGGTAGAGCAGTGGAAATGAAAGGGACTTTCTGTGTCTTCACAGTGCAGTCTCCTCTTACTGCAGGCAACCATATGATATAGTCCTTCCTATAAACTTCTGTGGTAAAGGTAGAGCAACTCCCGCTACACCCACTGGATATTTAAATTCACGTGTTCTAGTTTGTCAGCAAAACCTCTAAGGATTTGCCACAAGACCAGCTTTTCAGAGGGCTGCCCGTGTTTCACTGCTGTTAGGGCTGACCCGAACCACTGCCCTGACACTGGCTGGGCTGTCAGAATGCGTCAGTGTGTCCTGCTGTCAGAATTTCACTGAATTTTCACTGAATTTCTAGAGTTGGAAGGGACCATAGAGATCATCTAGTCCAACTCCCCTGCTGAAGCAGGATTGCCCAGAGCTAGAGCATGTTGCTCAGGACTGCATCCAGGCGGGTTTTGAAAATCTCCAAAGAAGGGGACTCCACAACCTCCCTGGGCAGCCTGTTCCAGGGTTCCGTCACCCTCACCGTGAAGAAGTTTCTCCTCATATTTGAGTGGAACCTCTTATGTTCCAACTTGTGCCCGTTGCCCCTCGTCCTCTCGGTGGGAACCACTGAAAAGAGTCTGGCTCCCTCCTCCTTCAACCCTCCCTTGAGATACTTGAAGGCGTCGATAAGGTCTCCCCTCAGCCAAGGGGACTCCACAACCTCCCTGGGCAGCCTGTTCCAGGGTTCCGTCACCCTCACCGTGAAGAAGTTTCTCCTCATATTTGAGTGGAACCTCTTATGTTCCAACTTGTGCCCGTTGCCCCTCGTCCTCTCGGTGGGAACCGCTGAAAAGAGTCTGGCTCCCTCCTCCTTCAACCCTCCCTTGAGATACTTGAATGCGTCAGTGTGTCCTGCTAACAGCCTCTCCTGAAGGAAAGAGGCTTCCCACACTTGGCTCCGCCAGAGTTAAATGAATCAAAGGCAGCTTCTTCCCTTCCTTTCCTCTTGTGCAATCTCCCTTGCCTTTGAAAAGGTTCTGCTCCTTTAGTCCCAAAGATGTTTGGCAGCTGGGTATCCCCTTGGTAATCTTTGGTGCTGGTTGTCCTTAAGATCTCAAACTCTTTGAGTATAGAATGTAAATTGATTAATTCAAGAAGTTTTAGTGCAAGATAGAGACCAGAATGATAGCCTGCTCACTAGGAAATTCGCCTGTGTAACAACACACCTGGCAAAACCAGAGAGGTGAGTAAGATGAAAACTTAACGAGTTTGTAAGCCTTTTGTTGTGCTCTACAGCAGCAGTGTCTTATCTGCCTTCCTGCATCCCAGGAAACTGTGACAAATTTGTGAAAGATAAGGCAATATTGTTGTTTTCTCCTCTCTACCTTCCTGTAGTACTCCTCTCCTTTGATTTTATAATGAAGATTTTATCCACACTGATATTAATTCCAAATATAAATAAATCAGTGGCTATGTTCCTTAGCCTTGGGGGCCTGAAAATATACCCTAAATGACTCCATTCTTGCAAACTGTTAGAGTCTACGAAGTTCTCTGTCATAGTGTTTGCAAGAAAAGTGATTTGCATTTAATAAAAGGTTTTCTTATCCAAGTCCATTGTTGTGCTTGACCCCTCAGGTGTTTGCATAAAAACTTATTAGCATGCTTAACTCCGATGGCGTTCAGATGAATGTCTCATTACCATGCAAATGGAGTTAGCTCCTTTCTGAGGTTAATTGTTACAAAGCAACACAGAGAGAGATCTATTGTAATTTTCTAACAGGGAACACCAGCTAGGCAGGGCAGCAGCCATCGTTGTCTAGCAGTCGAAAACTTAACTACATAAAGTCCATTAGGGAAAAACAGCACTATTGTAAGTAATGGTATGGACTTAGTTGTATGGAACACACAGCACTGTTCTGGTCTTGAAATGCAACTCTTAGTCAAACTAATTTTGGGCCATGTTTTACACCAAGGTCTGCTGACTGGCGGCCAGAGGGCATATCTAGTTTAGAAGCTGGTAAATGGTGTTATACTGTAAGCGCAGAAATCCCTTGGAGCAAACTCACAAGAATGGCCAGAGTCAGCAGTACTGGGTTAATTTACTGCAGACCACCTAGGCTATCTCTTTAGGAAACTGCATTTTCACATTTCAAAGTGCATTAAAGGTTTAATAGAATTCTTTAGAGCACAAAATAGAATTGGATCCCATCCTTTAGGAAATTATATACTGGGATTCATTTAAAAATGCACATTAAGCTCTTTGAACA